ATTTTTTTGTAGGCTACAGTATTGCTAAGTCTTCTACAACAGTAACATTTACTGGGAGAGACAAAGGTGGGGCGGAACAAGCTCCTTCAGTCCCGCTCATTTTCCCTGCTCTCTAGAGGGGCAGAGTTGGACTTTAAACACCCTTACAATACTGAGCATAGCAACGCAGAAAGCATGGTCTAGAAACAAGGAAAACTGTTTATTTAGCACATGGAAGTGAGGCAACTCTATCCAGAGAATCGGTTTCACACTAAAACGAGTCTGGACTGTTCATTGTGAAATGCCTCTTGGGCACGTCACCCACAAACATTCCAAGGCCTGTCATTATCTAGGTTGCCCAACACACAGTACACGTAGCTATGCCAACTGGGGCAAAGGCAAGCCTCTGTGAAATCACTTTGCTCTAAAACCTGCCTTAGTTGTCATGGAACAAGTGGGTAAGCAAAGTTATAAACGAGTTGTAAAATGAGCTCTTGGCAGAAAGGTGGAAAATTTAGCAAATCGTACAAGCCACAGTCCATAGAATTACTAAGAATAGCACCAGCCACTTCGGTCCTAATCTCACTTTCCTGAGCATTGCCCAAGCAAGGTCAATAAGAACATGCTATTTGATTTACAGTAGAATACTTTTTAAATAAATAAAAAACCAGTCATTATTTGCCTTTTGTCTGTGTGCTCAGAGGTTAACAAACTGAAGCTTCAATTGAATGGGACTGGTCAAAGCAAACAAGCAACGCACAAAAGAGGCTTTCTTCCTTCACACAAAGTCCTCCCGCTAATGCCGAAGCTTCTCCTGCCCCCTTGCCCTACACTGGGCTGGGGAAGCTGTGCAGACACTTGAATGCTGTGCAAATCATAAAAGCACCCTTTTGGTGAAATGAAACAGGTTTAACGCACGCTAAGAAGTAAATTCCAGCCATCGAAACCCAAAATGACTTTCTTGTCTGTCTTTGTAAAACGGTAACATTTCTTTTACTCACCTCTCTTGCCACATTGCTTGTTTTCACTTCCTGAATGACTGTGCCGAAGATGAGATAATCAATAACTTCCTTTGGGACATTGGTCCGATGCAACAAACCCCTGGGAGCACAGGTCCCAAACAAAGAAACAGTTCATACATCAAGGTAGTACTTTAGAAATCAACCCATGAAACATTACTCCTATTTGCAAAGGTTAGCCTGGAATTTAAAAACATGGAGGCTGTGGGGAAAAAAATCTATAATTTATTAAGTGTTCATGAGGG